AATTTCCTATTTCTACCACCACTTTCTCTGCTTTCCTGTATCTAATTCCTCCTCCATTCTTCCTTTCTTCACTTAACCTAATTGCTTATACATGGAGCCCTTCTTGCTCCATTGGCATTTTCTTGCTTTGCCTATGTTCTAAGTCTCTGCATGGCCTCAGCGAAGACATGCAGGACACATGGAGAATTCAGGGCAACTGTCTCTCCAAGTAGCTCCATTAGCCAAGCCAGCCTATCCCCTTCCCATGGACTGTGGGTGTTGGGGACAGAGTCATGCGTCACAATGCAAGCAATAACCATGGAGACACAGAGGAAGAACAAGGACTGCTGGTAAGCACTCTGTGGATTCAGAAAGCATACCAAATGCATTGGAAGGACTTGAGGTTGAAATCAAACTTGAAATCATCCAAGGAAAGTCAGAGAAGGGGAGATGGTACCTACTACTTCAGAACTATACCTAAGCATCTATCACTGTGTAAGAGACAATTTTTATTAATGCTACGTTTTAAAGCAACCGAGCCCACTAACTCCTGTGGTCACTTCTAACTGCCCAGAGGTCTCATCAAACCATTGCAAGCATGGCTTCTCTTTATCTCTCTATTTGCTCAAATTACCCAGAGTTGACTCAATTAACTAGCACATGTGTTATCCGGCTCAATTAAACTGCAAGCATATCACTAATTTCCAAACTAGCCTTATTGTCTTAAGAATATTTAAAGTAGTCATCATACTGCTTATTCCTAGCATTCAAAGATGTAAAATTCTTGAAGGATTTTTGCATATTGCTACTTATAGATTACCAAATTTCAAAAAAAAGAAGCTTAAAATTTCTTTATAATAAAATCTACTCAACTCCAAAGCTATAGTAACTCAGTTTAGATGATTCAGAAGCTAATTCAAGATCTCTTGGTGCCTCAGTATTAGTATAAACATCATCTTTTCAGTCTGTGTGAATAAATGCCAGTCCAGAGGGAATTCTGGTTAAGAATATGTCAAATTAGTTTACTAAGATGCCACTCATAAAAGCATTAAAAGAATCTAAACACACTACTAGGAATAAAAACAGCCTGGTTTAGTTCAAGGTGATTCATCAAGCAGAAATAAAAATAGCAATTAATAATATTATTGCTAGAACTTATATAATCATAATTATATGTCAGGCCCACTTGTGAGCACTTCACTCCATGAAGTAGGTTTTATTAATATTCCCATTTTACATATTAGAAAACAGGAAATTCACAAAGGTAAAGGTGGCAGAATGAAGGCTTCAAGCCAAAAAGTCAGGTTCTAAGTTGCAAATATGCTTCACTTTTAAATTTATTTTATTTATTTATTTATTTATAAATGACAGCAGAATGCATTACAATTCTTATTACATATATAGAAAAAAAATGTGGCATATGTACACAACAGAAATAGACATTTCTAATAGATATGTTTGGGGAAATGTCTATTCAAAAAGTTGGTGGAGGAATAAATGGGTAACCAAACTTTGTAATAGATCCCAGACCAGTATAAACATGTACTTGCTGCAAATGGAGAAAAGAACATTTGGTGTTGCTTTTTTTAAATCCAAATGTTGACACAGGTCCCACCCAACCTCCTCACTCCTTACACACCAGAGGCCAAAGCTATGCAATCTTGAACAAGGGCTCTGCTTCTGGAGTGCAGATACTCAGGCATCTTTGCTCCATGGGCAGCCTGGGAACCATGGAG